TCAACAGATAACAAAAACTAATCTAACTTAGCATTTGTCTCCATCTTGAACAACAATTCTTTTAACTATTAAAAACTCTGATGAAAGATCAATAAACTACGAATATTTATAATAATTTTAAAAAAAGAACAACACATTGGCTGGCAGTTGGAAATCTTTACAACCCTGGACATTATACTTTGAAGCTGGAAGAAAAAACAAAAGATGCAGACATTATTTTGAAATTGAAGTTCCCTAAAATATCAATGCTATCAAGTAAGATCCTGAATTAATTTCAACAAACAAGTCCTGCATTGGTTACAATAGTTGACTTAAAAACTAGACGTTATAGGACAGTTCCTGTAATATTTGGTTTAAAAATATATTATAGTGCATATTGCATGTTCTACGATGTGTATATAGAAGGTGAATGTGTTATCACTCAAAATGTGTCATGAGCTGAAAACACAGGAATATCTGTTTCAGGAGAGAACTGCAGATTTTTTTTTATGAATTATTAGCCCTCAAATGATATATGTTGCAAGTGCAAAGTTTGAATGCGATCTGCCCGGACATGTGCAAGATGCATTTATTAAATAGTTATTCCCACAAAAAAATAAAATTGCGAGACAAAACGCTTTTTTCTATTTTTTTTTTTTATTTTCTATTTTTCTATTTCTAAGGCAAAATCAAGAAATAACCCACATGATGACTAGAAAACAAATTATTATTATTGTAGTTTTGAATCTAACACAATGTCTAACAGTTCATTGAATCTGTGATCGGGCAAATACGTCATGAAGTGGTTAATTTGACTAAAAATAGAAACTTTATTCATTTTAGTAGGTATATAAATTAACCATTTTTCGACGAGCAACGAAGAATCATATGGATTATTTTTGGGATCCAAACAGGTTAGTGACAATCATTTATCTCAATGAACATGTTGATGGAATTCAAGCAAAATGGAGCTATGTGAGCGATATTTATGTTACAAACTGATCATGAATAAGGCAGTGTATTGTCACACAGACCTGTAGACGGCAAATTCATCAGCCTGCGCAAAACTATACTACATTGTACATTAGTGTTTCCGCTAAAAAAAACTTATTTTTAACAAAATTTTGCCTACGTTTCATAGCAAAATTGGCAATACGAGAAATATTCCAATAAATTTATATTATTTTTGTATTCAAATATAGCAGATTCACGGTGTTACTTTGAGAAATTTAGTGGTATTCTCTTCTTGTATTTAGTCAAATGGTACACTCTACATCTCCAGTTGAGCAGGGTAAACCTGGAGTTGTACAAAAATGCAATGTACTGCAGTATTTGTGTACAACACAGTGACAGTAAAACAGAACTAGAATGCATGTGCAAGCAAATATAGGCCTATTGAAAAGAACTAACTTATAACTGTAGTAGGCTACTGAAGTGTGTTTTCAGGCTTTTTAGTTGTACCTGCATAGAAACATCACCACAATGAATGCTACAAGAGAGATTTAAAACGTTTGTTTGGTTACATGTATGCATACCAGGAGTTGATTTTTATATTCATTTCTGGTGGTGAACATTCAAGAAATATATAAAAACACTACCATCTTTCTAGTACAGTTAAAATTTCTTGATTTAAAATGCACAATCTAGACACAACTGAATCACTATCGTTACTGTTCATTGTCAAATGAATGACTTAATTTATTCAGACACACTAATCTATTAGTTTGTCTGTTGCCTTAAAACTATCTAGAGCACAGCAACCTTATGCTTTTGATGACAGAAATCGTCAGCAATATTGTCAAAATGACAAACAATCCCATGGCAACATTATAATTAGGATGATTATTTTTCTGTACATAAAATGCTGCACTGAGTATAGAATATAGTATTTTCTTGTAAAATTTACCTAAAAAGATCTGATAAAGTAAAATGTACAAAAGCATGTACCTGTTTATAATTAACAAACAATCATGGCCAACTAACCCAGAAACCATGTTTGATTTTGATTTTCACCACATACTGTATTCGGTACAGAAACAACCTTATAGCATTATTTCCTTTTGGCAACTCAAATGCTACATTGTTACAACAGCCACATATGTAAATTTCACAATTTTCTCCAGGTCGCTAAATTAAAGCAGTTTACCATATTATCAATTATACTGGTATATATTTTTCATTAGATTCAGATAACTCCTAAATTAATTATTCCGGGTAGTCACTACTCATACTAGATGTGGACTAGTATTCCCCTGCTATGAGGGTACTACATGAACACTATCAAAGCCACTATTCCCTTACCTATCTAGATACTGCTTAACATTGTCATATCCACTATGTCGAGCCAAATGGATCAATATACCAGTTGCATGATGTCCAGTTTTTTTGCGACAGAAACTACAATTGCATACACCGCGACAAGGAGGACATGCCCAGTTCTGTAAAAAGAAAAGTAAAATCATCATCACATCCTAAGCAGTTAGTCACACACACACACACACACACACACACACAGTTACACATAATATTCACATGTAATTTTAAGGCGAGAGGGTCATCGGCGAGAAGGTCATCACCAAGCAATAACACACGCTAAAAACACAAAGGCTCATAGGTAGACGCTTGTTTGTAAACAATGACACGCTATGGTTATCTGACGCCCCCTCCGCTTTACAGATATATACAGGGAAAATCACCTACAAATCCAATATTGTGCTGAATTCACTTTGATAAGTGGTTATACTATATTATACAGGGCTTGAAATTAACAATCAATTGGTTATACATGTATTATGTTCGAATCGTGCAAACAAATATAAGCACAAATAAATGTCCCACAACTCAATTTATGTAGGACACCATAACTTTGAGAAAAATCTGGTGAATGTAAATTTCCAGTAGAAGCCAAGTTGGGCTATTAAATTCAGAAAAGGGTATCCCTAGGACAAGAGTTGATAGTCTGTACCCTTAGGCTACTGATAATTATGAGCCTTGTTATAACATGCTTTGTCTGAATTAAGCCATCTGATTGGCTGGAGCAAAGTCTTGTATCTGTCACTTGAAAATAATTATTTTTTCTCAGAACTGAAAAAAACGTTTTTTGAACTGTATCGAAAATTTACTGATCAAAAAACAAACAAAAAATAGTGAAAGTATTGCATAAATTGTTAAAATTGAATATTTGGCAAAAAAAACTCCTGCAAGGTTTGTGCAAGTTGTAGCTTCATAATCTACAAGTCATACAAGTGCTCTTATCGATGCGTCTTCCATTGCCATGATAGAGGCGTGTAATTGTAAAACTAATTCACATTTTTATGATTCAGCATACAATCAACAAATTCTTCTATGGCATCACTGATTTTACCTCAGGTTTAGCTAACAATACAACATAATTTATGTGACATTATCTATCACCAAAAATCACCAACAGAGATCTTGTATCCGCTAACAAATGCTTCTTAAAAACTCAAACAATTGTAATATACTGACTAATTTTTAACCTTTATTATTTTGCCCATCTGAAATCATTTCCTGACAAATATAATTCAGGGCAGTAAATGGGTAGGGTATTCCCGTCATATCATGAAGATTTCATTCCACAAGCAGGCTGTTTACTCGGCAAAGTGTGCCCTATAACAGGACTGATTTTTTAGGGTTCCCAGGGCAAAATGGAACCCCCCCCCTCCCCCACAAACCAATTTTTTGTTGCTGGAAAAATAGGTCTTAAAGAAAAATGTATGCAACTGTATGATGACTTGAACAAACCAAAAAAATGTTGTGGCCACTGATTTAATTCATTTTTACACTTGCATTGTTTATAAAATGTGAATTTCATTTTCGCAAATTACAAATTTCATAACTATAGTAAGATGCTTCGCAAGATGACAATATCAGTGACTATATCGGTCGTACGGCTTAAGTGTCATTGCAAGCTTGATTGCTCTCGTCGCATAACAAAAAAAACATTACTAACATTTCTCTACAAAACAAAATATTAAAGAGGGCCACTAGTTCACTACACCTTGGCACATTCCATTATCATGTCAGGAACAGTCAAATGCAAAACACAGCCGGCAAAATGAGCATTTTGACCTGAAATTGAACCATTTTGTTAAGTAGTTTTATTTAGCAAATTTTCAAATCACGTAGATACATGTATTTTCCCCTTTTCCTCAAACTGTTGCAAACAAGTTTGGCTGTTCCTCCTTAGCCCTCAGTAACCACTGTTTCCTTCCATGTGGAAAAGCAATTGGGTCTATCCAATATGCAAACATACGAGACACTACTATTGTGTCACCCATTGCCATGACAGAACTTACGGGGTCTTTGAGAGCCTTCTTAGCATCTTCTCCATACCGATTACGTAAACATGGACCACAGAACTGACCACGAACACCAAAACATACACCAGATCTACAGATAGTCTTCATATCATCTGTCTTCTGTCGACATTGGTGACAACTTTTACCCTGCAATACGAAATCAACAATCAAAGTTGACAAATAAAACCAATACAACATATGTATGCAGTCATGACTCTTGAACAGGAAAGCAAATTAAGACAGTTTTCGCCAAATTCAGTTTATTAATTCAAACAAGTCATTGTCAATGACACGTCCCCGTTCCGTTCATATTTGAGTGACATATACATTCAAAGCAGATCATGACCGAAATGCACCTGCATGTGTACAACACATTATTCTAAATCTGAACAAAATCCATCCATGCATGACTGAGATCAGGTTCCGGAATTGTGAAAATACGTGATTTTGATGCATTTTCAGCCTTAAAATGGCCATCATTCAGCTATTGTTAAGCGGATGATGAAACAAATGCACATATCTATTTGTGACATGATGTACCATGTGTGTGTGAAGTTTGAACTTGATCAATCCAGACATGTTTTGGATACGGATCCAGAACTGAATTCTTTAAAACAAAATGGCCGCCAGTTGGCCATTTCGAACTTGATCCGAAAAAAAAAATAACGTGCATCAAGGTCCTATTATGTTTAATGTATGTACCAAATTTGACTGAAATCCGTCCATGCATAACTGAGATCCGGGTCCGGAATGGTGAAAATGTGCGATTTCAATGCATTTTCGGCCTTAAAGCGGCCGCCATTTGGCTATCGTTAATGAGATCATGAAACAAATGCACATACATATTTGTGACATGATGTACCTTGTGTGTGTGAAGTTTGAACTCGATCAATCCAGGCATGTCTCAGATACGGATCCAGAACTGAATTCTTTAAAACAAAATGGCCACCAGTCGACCATTTCAAGCCCGATCCCCCCCAAATAAATGACGTA